GGCCCCGGTCCGGGGGTGGCGGGCCTCTGGCATGGCACCCCCATTCAGCCAGCACCTTGTGTCATGAAGCAGCAGTTCTTCTTCAGCCCGCTTGGCTGCCTCGACATCCACACCTGGGAGAATGAGAGGTGACAGGTGGACTCACACAGGGTGGCCTAGGAAACCCCGGCTGCGGTCTCAACTAGTCACAGCCCGGCCCCGTGACTCATCAAGTCTCTGGACCACTCAGGAGACCGGGACTGCCCCAGTGTTTCCCAACTGTGCTCCCTGAAGACCAGGGCACCACCGAGGGGGCCAAGACAGGCCAGGAATGGAAACCACAGGTCCTGACCCCTGTGGGTCAGTATCCTCTTTATGTTTTTCTAATAGAAAACCCCACACCGGATTCCATCTAGGTTTTCCTACCCCTCCAGCTATAAGCTAAAGCCAGCGCCTTCACACAATGTCACTGCTGGTTCTTCTCCCTTTGAAGTACGATAGGCCAAACAAAACTTCACTACGGCGTTGTACGTGGTGGCTCCGGCCTCTATTCCAGATCTCAGCCTTGGCAGGATGACCGGTGGCCTCGAATCTGAGAACAGCCTGAGCTACATACATGGTGTCAAGCCAACCAGGACTAGAGAGACAGACTCTGTCTTAGACAACAGTAAAAACTAAAACTCAAAAGCTTCTGGGCGGTGGTGCACACCATTAATCCCAGCACTCGGGAGGCAGAGGCAGGCGGATCTCTGTGAGTTCGAGACCAGCCTGGTCTCCAGAGTGAGTGCCAGGATAGGCTCCAAAGCTACACAGAGAAACCCTGTCTCGAGAAAAAAAAAAAAAAAAAAAAAAGCTATTTCCCAAACTATTTGCATGCATAGTTTCATTCTTGCCCAGATGTCCAGGCATTTGACACCTCGCTGGCCCACGACAGAAGTGAGAAGTGAGTGACTGCCTTGGCACTTTGTGCTTATGCGGGTATGCTGCATGCCTGTGACCCCAACACAGGCAAGAGGCAAGAGACCAGCAGGGCTCCACAGAGACCCTGAGTCAAAAGACAAACAGAGGGGGAGGGGCTGGAGAGATGGTTTAGAGGATGAAGTGCCAAGCCCGATGACCCAAGTTCAATCCTGGGAACTCATGAGGCAAAGGAAAGAATCAAGTTGCACAAGGGGTTTCCCTTTGTGAACCCAGCTTGGCCTCAAACTCACAGCAATCCTCAGTCTCTGGAAAGCTGAGATTAAGAGGGGGTTTTTTTGTTGTTTATTTGTTTTTTTTGGTTTTGGTTTTACGAGACAGGGTTTCTCTGTGTATCTTTGGAGCCTATCCTGGCACTCGCTCTGGAGACCAGGCTGGTCTCCAACTCACAGAGATCCACCTGCCTCTGCCTCCCGAGTGCTGGGATTAAAGGCGTGCACCACCAACACCTGGCTAAGATTAAGAGTTACACACCACACCTGTACTCCCTGCACTCAAAGAGGCTGAGGCAGGAGGATTGCTCCAAGTCCAAGGTCAGCCTGGGCGCCAGCATGAGAGCCTGTCTCAAACACCTCAGGGGGGAAACAGAAAGCCAGGCAGACTAGCTGAGGCTGAAGCACTCCAGCCCTCACTGTGACCCTCATCCCTTAAAGCACCCCTAACTCACTGAGACCACAGCAAAATGGCCTCTGCTGAATAACTTCCTCCTGGGAAGGTTATTACTGCCCATGCTTTTGCAGTTGTGAAACTCTTGACTTGCCGAAGTTCCTCAGAGTTGAGCTGTTGTATCCAGTAGCCGGCAGCTATGTGGAACTGCCGAGCGAGCACTCGAAACTGAGACATGCTGTGAACGTCAAGTGCACTCGGGATTTCAAAACACAGGAAAAGGTAAGGGCTCTCGTGGACAGTTGTCTCTAAACTGTTTTGTGCACACGTGCATGGCAGCGTGGTCAGGGGGCAATTCTGAGGAGCCGAGTCCTGCTTCCCACCTTGCTGAGGCTGGGTCTCTGGATTCTGCGGCTGTGCTGTGTACTCTAGGCTACCCGGCCCACAGGGCGTCCCCACAGTTCTCCCACCTTCCTCTAGGACCTGGGAGTACGGACGTGCACCAGTGCCGCCGCCGGCTTTTTACAAGGGTTCTAGAGGTGGTAACTTGGGTGCATCTAACATCTTTACTGGCTGAGCTATCTCCCCAGTTCCCCTTACTGTGTTGATTGCACCCAACGGAATACTGGGTTTGTTTTTTGTTCTGGAGCGTGCGAGAGAGAGAGAGAGAGAGAGAGAGAGAGAGAGAGAGATACAGACACAGAATCTTAACAGAGAGACAGAGTCTTACATTATATAGTGGAGGCTGAATATCTAGTCTTCCTGCCTCCCAAGTACTATGGGATAGTCCTTCTGTACGCTACGAATATGGACTCTTCTCATTGGTTAATAATAAAGCTGAGTTGGCCCACAGCCAGGCAGAATAAGGGTAGGCGGGAAAGCCAAACAGAGATACAGGGAGAAAGAAGGGCAGAGTTGAGTGAGACGTAAGCAGCCACCAGGGAAGCAAGATGCCAGGTGACAGGTAAAGCCACGAGCCATGTGGCAAAACACAGGCTAATAGAAATGGGTTGATTTAAGTTGTAAGAGCTAGTTAGTAATAAGCCTGAGCTATAAGCCGAGCATTCCGTAATCAATACGAGCTCTTGTGTATTTATTTGGGGCCTGGCGATTGGAACTAAAGGGAAGCTTAGACTACGGACTTGCACCTCCATGCTTAGTTTATGGGTTCAGAGGACCATGCTAATGGATAAGCACTCTACCAACTAAGCTACACCCCCAGCCTATGGCTTGCAAGTTTCAAACTACATCTGTGGCTCATTCAGGATTTCCACTGGGCGTCACTGGCAAAGGCCTTCAGGTCCCACCTGGAGCGCTGGCTCAGCCATTAGAGCCATTAATGGTAGACTCACAACCTACACAAGAGACAAAAACCCACACAAGGGGTGGAATGCAGAGACTCAACCAGTTCCAAGCCAGCCGGGACTAACAAAGCAAGATCCTGGCTCATAAACCCAGGAGCAGGGTTTAGCCCAGTGGTGGTATGCCTGCCTGGAAAGGGATGGCCCCAGGTTCAGGCCTCTACACAGAGGGCTGCTTTCCTCACCACACTCCCGCCCAGCCGCTCCCCTCAGCACACACATTGTACACTGCCACCATAAAGCTTTACATGGGACCCAAGAAACAGTCCTGAAAGCTGGTTCGGGATGTTCTTTCTCATTGCAAGGCAAGGCCAACTCCATGCGGACACCGGCTGCAGCTTGGTGCTACCTGGCGGCAGCCGGGTCCTAGCTCCTTGTGTCTCCTGGCCAACTAGGGTTTCCCTTGTGGTGGCAGAGTTCAAGAATGCATGGCGAAAGTCCACCCGCAGCACAGTCACAGGGAACAGGGCAGGGAGGGCCAGGCCCGCCCTCGTCCTCCAGACTCCTGCTTCCTTAAAGGGAGTCTCACACAGTTCCACCTGCTGTGGGGGGAAGGGGAAGGGGAAGGGCGGAGCTCCCTTGCTGTTCTTCAACCACCAGCCAGTACTCCCGTGCAGGCTCAAGGGCAGCCTGTGCTCTCCACACAGCCAAGACCTGCTTGCTTGTTACTCAGTTTTTCTTACACAGGCCGTTAGCTGATTAATTGGGTTTTTATTTTATGTGTATGGATGTGTTGCCTGTGTGCATGAATGTATACATGTGTGCTGGTGCCCGAAAAGGCCAGAAGAGGGTGTCAGATTCCTCTGGAAATGGAGTTACAGGTGTCATGTGGGTGCTAGAGTTGAACCCGAGTCTTAACCACCGAGGCATAGCCACTGATTCAGCCAGACTGACCAGCCTGCAAACCCCAGGGATCCTCTGTATCGGCCTTGCCCCACACCTGCTAGGATTACAGGTGGTGGTGGGCTTGGCTTTGTGGTTGCTGGGGAACTGAACTTAAGACCTCAGTATGTGCACCAAACCCTTCTACTGACTTAGCAACATTCCCGTGGAAGTCCTGAAAATGAAGGACGGGGGGAAGGATACTGACTCTGCTGTAAGAAAATTCTTACATTTATGTTATTGTGTGGATGTGTGTGCACTCAAGCACAAATGAGAGCTAGAGAGGGCCTGCAGAAGTCACTTCTCTCCTCCCACCAAGCGGATCCCAGGGACTGAGCCCAGGGGTCAGGCTTGGTGGTGAGCGCCTTCGCCCACTGAAGCACCTCACCAGCCTGAAAATAAAGCTCTCATGGCACCCAGCCACGTCTGCTTTTTCTCATCCCGTCGCTGGCTCATTTCCCCCGATAGCAGCTGGTAGAGTCATTATAGCAAGACCGTGCACCCTGTAAGGCCTGAAACACATACTGACCAGCCCTCCACAGGTCCCAGCTGACTCCTGCTGGGACCACTGAGTTATAAATCAGAGCGTCATCTACCGGCTGCAGAGGCGACAGCTTTTTGGTGTCACCAACAGCAAACACTGTGCTGTATTCCTGTGCACTCACCACCTGTGAGAAAATGCACCAGGGCAGGAGCTCAGGCCTGCAGCTTCAGCCAGGTTAAGGCCGGCCTGAGCTCTCCTTCCAGGCACAGCCTTGCACTACTCTAGCTGGCATCTGTAACTACCGCAGTCCACTGTGCCCATCTCTGCATGCTACAGCCCTCACTGTCCTTCCTGGATGTCAGTTTCCATGGGAGACAGCTTCGCCTTTCTCCAAAGCACATCCTAAGTCTCCTTCCTACCCTGTCCCCCCAAGGGGGGCTCCTCCTCCACGGACACTGTGCTTTCAGTCTTTGCCAGGGGTCTGACCTAGGCCTGGGCCGCACCAACACTGCTAGGACCTGGCAGCACCCACTCTTCCTCCTTCAGGAACCACGTCCTGACTTTCCTCGCCCACAGGGCTTCAGTGTGACACTTGTCACAAGGTGACAAGTCCTCCTGCACACTGGTGGGCTCTGGGACTGACATGAGATCATGTGCCAGTGTCACACAGAGAGCTGTGGCTCAGCCACTGAGGGGGGTAGGGCTACTGTACCCCACCTAGGCATTAGCCCTGCTAAGCACCACAGGGAGAGACCAGACCCCACCAGGAGGCCAAAGCGGCTGGTGGCATTAGGGATCCACTGCCAAAGACTGGAACTCTAGG